GATTGATTTAACCAGTATAGCGGCTCTGCCCTGGTCAGTCAGTCCGATAACTCCGGACTCAAAAGAGCATTCTCAACAAGCCTTGCTAGATCAGATGCTGGCTGTTCTGAGTATAGACCGGGGATCCTCATTTGAGACCAACGGACCCTCTTCTCTCGTAGTGCCGAGACTGGACGATGTATTGAAAACGGTTTCGAGAGGAGACAGCAACTTTATCGGCTGTGCCGGGTTGCAGGGTGATATCATTCAGGCGGGCCAGGATTGGCTTCCGCCATGGCACCCTGAAATGTGAGTGAGGATGTACACACATCCGTCGGTTACAGCCTGGGGCGTAGCTTCCATGATGTTCGTAGACCGAATACGTGATACTACCGACGCCATCCATTCGACCCGTATCCCTTCCCAGGCAGATCGGAGTATATCAACTTTCTGCCTGTGCAAGTTGGGCCATCGGAAGCGTAGCGCGCCACCACCCCTCCAGACAGGCCTAGCCTTTCGTAAAGAAAAAAACTCACTTGCCTGTTGGGATCCTCGGAGCTCGATACTGGCTTGCCAAGTACCTCCGTCGCATGCTTCATGTACTTGTTATCTTCTGCACCCACCTTGCTGCAAGCCACATTCCGAACAGGTCGCCGTTCATCCCGGCACGGGATTGGTGGGCGATGGATTGCCTCGCAACTGTTACGGCCGTCTGCTTTGGAATAAATGGCCGATATATTTGCATGAAAGGCCACATGGGTCTCTAAAAGATGTGACATGTGTAACCTAGCGTCAACGCATTTCCCAGTCTTTTGTGTATGGCGTATAGGTGCTAAACAGTGGTGATGGCTTGTGTTTGTGTCTGTGAATGTGTGTGGCGGTTAGTAAAGACGCTCCTGATCATTGATTGGTACGAATCAGAGGAATCGGCAGGCCACTGGCATCCATCAACACGCCACATAACAGCAGTGCATCTCCACAGTCCAGTCTATTCTTCTCTTCTGCTGTGCAAGACAATAAGCCAAATGAAGTCCTGCCATGACTGTAGACCAGAGACGAAACAAAGACCTTTATCAAACAGGTGCTACCCTTTCGTGCTGTTTCGGTCGGACAGGAACAAGCGACGTGCTCCTGGAACTGCTATACATGCCTAACGCTCTCCAAGCCATTCACTCCCCTCTGGGTCACATCCTATTGGTGTCTTTGGCCCCCCCTTGAGCACAATTGTGCATAAGACCCATGTCTTATCCTCGCCTTTATACGTAGAGGGGCTTGCTCGTCGGCGGCGGCGCTGGTATTGTGCAAAGGCAAGCACATGCTTCCTCAGATTAATATCACATAATACTTGACTGTTTGAATGCTTGCTCCTTTATGCTCTCCCAGCGTGGACAGGCCACAAGAGTGCGGGAAGGAATGCAGTGGCGAATGCTCACCGTTCCAGAGGCAGGCCTGATTGGCAAGCGATGCCTACAATGTGATGATTTTAGCCCAGAGTGCATTGATGGGCGGTTGTTCAGTGGGTAGCTTAGGCTGCATCATTCGCTCACCCAACATCCCAGTGAATCCAAAGTGACGAGTTGTCTTTCTGGGCAACAGAGCACAGCACACCACTGCACAGCATACTTGACGACCGGGGCCGCATTGGCCGCTAATAAGGGCTGACGATTCCTTTGCGCAGGAGTCCATCCATGCCACAGGCTAAAGACATGAGTGGCTTAGAGACGGAACCTGTGCGGCGCGGCCAAATCATCCCCCTTTCAAAAAGAGCAAATTGGACTGAACTCACTGATACGGAGGGGGCACAACGAGACCAGAAGGGGCCGAATTACACGAGACAATAGGCGGTTGCTTTAATGCCTGCTTCAGGTGCGCGCCAGAAACCACCCACACCCCAGTAGGCTGCTGTAAGATTGACCCAGCTTTTCTGGGGGGGCTCTAGTGACCCTACTAGTTGTTGCAGTAGTACTGGTAGTTTCTGGACGCGGGCAGAAGCTCGTCAGTCAGACGGGGCTTCTGATCAATGCTGCCGTTCCCCGTTTGACCTTGGCAAACCTCGTACAACTCGGGCAGGGGCCCTGGAAGCACTGTGGGCTTTTAACGAAGTAATGGGTGTGGAATCATCTCTTTGAGCGATGAAGGTATACACATGTAAGTGGTTTTTTCCATTTCGTGAATAACAGGATTACACTCACCCAAAAGCCTGTCTTTCCAGACGGCAAGTCGCCCATGATAGCAGGACCAGACCTACAGCCAGCTCCCTGGCACAGCAAGCCAATCATTGCCATTTCTTCTGGCTGTATTCCTAACGGGCTAGTTGTTGGGAATAATTATGGAACCGGAACTTAGCAGACGGTGCTAAATTGATTCTGGGGATCAATTATTAGACAGACGTAATTAGAAGGTAAGACTCTGAACAGAGGTATGATATTGTATGATGATCTCACGCCTCTCTTGTCGGATCAACCCCTCCTGCCTTGGAGCGAGGGAGACGGCAACGAGGGAAAATCAAATCAAATCAAAAATAGCCGTCAGAGAGCGATGGTTGCGCCCGCCCGTGAGTGCTCACCGAGGGACAAAATCGAGTGGGTGAGCCAACATTCATGATGCCGTCTCCGGGATATTGACCAACACCGGGCGGCTACCGTGAATGGAGCACGCACCCGTTCCCTGCAGCAGAGGGTGTGCTGTAGTGTGGGTGCGACTCGTGCCAGGCATGTACGGTACATATGTGTGTGTATGTGCGTACGAGGAGAAGCGAGCGAGCCCATTCACTCACGGTGATTCTCTGTGGGGACTAGGCGCCAGCATCTATCCCGCATCAGGAATTGAGGACAGGGGTGGGGCCCTTCTCATCCGAGGCCAAGGCAGAAGAAAAGAAGCTCCACGGATGAGATGTTGCCCCGGTCGTGTTGGTTGCTCTCGGCCTGTGACCTTTCGTACCCCGGTGTCTAAGGGGGTGCATGCGACGAGGCGTTGGCTGGTGTCTGGCCGGGAAGGTGAAGGGACGAGAGAAAGACGGGTCGAGAGGGCGACTCACTTTGGCTTCACTCTGGCCTGACTGTGTAATTGCCGCCTCCGTTCTAGGTTCAGGCTGGGTTACGAGCGCATGACTGCTCCAAGTACCAGGCGGCATATGTACAGGGGACGGCGGGCGAGAGTCTGTCTCATGGCGCAGGAGAGGGCATCTTGCGGCGGTGTCAGCTGTCTAATAGCGGCGACCAGGGGCACCACAGGCCAAGGAGGTGTTGTAGTGAAAGTGCGACTACTGGACTGACCGGCGCAGTGGTACATCCCGGCTCCTGTGAAAATCCTCGTACCGTCCAAAAGCAAGTGCAGTGCCAGACAAGGCGCAGGCGCGAATACGTAAGGTAGGTGCGCCGTACTTGCCTTACATAACTCCTGCCTGAGTTACGCGGCAGGGTACTACCTGGTCCGTAGTGCAAGTCCAGTATAGGCAATCTCATCTGCCTGGCAATACTTGCTGCCCGCTTTCCCTACATTCAAAATTCAAATACTACTATCGGTACATTCCCAGCCGCTGCCATGCCACCCCAACGCAAGTGGAGGTTGAGGCAGGATGCGTACCTTGGATCTCACTTGATTATTATGGAGGGGATTGCCACTGGCCGCAGCCAGGCGAGGGCCCAAGGTTAGGACCTCCTGCGCAGGCTACGTTAGTTAGTGTTGGGACGGGTCCTGTCGAAACCTTGCAGTAGGGGTGAAATGATTGAATGAGAGGGGCTTGACTCCAGCGGACACGCCTGCCTCAGTGACCACTGGGGCAGTTGTTATGGAGACCACATCACCTGCTGCAGTAGCCAGGGCGGGGCAGCCATGGGCCAATCCACTACCACCTACTAATAATACCTTCAGCCGACAGGCTGGCTACCTGCGCCTGGGCACCTGCTACCTGCCGGCGCTCGCTCCAGCTGATGGGGCACATGAAGCACGCCCGTGCTAAAGCGTGGCCCTTGAGATGCAGCTCCCAGGTATTCAAGTACCCTCGCCTTGTACCCGCCCATGTACCCCGACTTGCCTTGACTTGCCTGCCTTCCACATCTGAGCATGTACCTGGCGGAGGTACCTCCAAGACCTCGCCTGAGTGCGCTAAGCTCTAATCGACTGCACTGCGTCAGGCCAGCTCCAGCACCACCACTACCGTTTGGCGGCGGCTGGCTCGAATCAATCGGGACCCAACCTGACGACACCACACAGCACACACGACATGGAACATACCTTCACATCAGCCTCTCCCTTGACCCTGGGATCCATTAGGTCCTTTTTCCCTTTCTTTAATCTCTATCTTCATTCTTCACCTTTCAATATTTCTGTTCTTCCTACATCGTTCCTGCGCTGTTCAATTGGACTGCAGGGTTACAGCTGTTCACAAGTGTTCACAGCCCTCTCACTTTCGCCTCGCCTGCTGTTCAGAAGCTTTGATATTCTGACAATTGTTGATTGGAACAAAGCCACCGAGCCCGACCCCCATTCAATCCTCCGGTGCCCTGCCTGAGGTGCAAGCAGCCGTTTCCCGTCATGGCTTAAGTTTGTTCTCGAACCTCTCAACACAACTCAACCTCGTTCTCCTACTCCCGATTCTGCGCTCGACCACCACAACCCTCGCCGAACCCGATCTCGCCCCATCGCCGTCGAGCGCCTTGCCTACCCTCGCTTCGGACCAGGCTGGCCCTGTCAAAAGTTGTTCTCTTTTGGCAAGCTTGTGTCTCTCGACTGTTCTCTTTGAACCAGTTGATATTTGGTACCGAGGGCCTTGTCACCTTCGCTCGTATTTTAGGGTCGTATTCCTCAGATACGCTTCACATTAAAGATACAGTGTCTCCATGTTGGTGGAAAATCGCCGTCCGATTTCGATTTCGACTTTGCCTCCTTCGCCCTCGTCCGTTCTAAACAAACACAAGAGTTTTACACGACCTCCACCCATCGTCGTCTCGAAGCTTCACGCCCTTGCCCAGCTGGCCAACTCCTGGGACTCCGGGCTGCGAACACCTCCAATCGACGAGATGAGTACCGCCTATCAGCCTCCCCTGGCGACTTTGGACAGCCATGCCATGAATCCATACCATGCCGCTTCTCTCGGTTACCCAGGAAAGGCCCGCATGGACGTGGTCGAATCTCACCAGGCTCAGTACTCCAGGCCTGTAGTGCAGCAGCAATACACATTGCCGCAGAATGCTATGAACTGGGCACCGAGAGAGACCAGCGCGAACAACCCGTTTTCATCAACAAATCAACTGAACACAATTCGAGAGCAGCCTCCTCAAGTATCCTCCGCGAAAACTGAGGCCTCAGTTTGTTCTCAGGACGGTACCAATTCCAGACGCAATTCGGAGAGCCTCGTTTACCACAGCCTTCAAATTCCGAAGTGCATAAGTCCAACTGGGGGGAATCTGGCCGAATTTGCTGCTCAGGTAGGCAATGCATTATGGTGTCCTTTTTCTCCCATTCACTAACCTCCGTTTAGATGACTTGTCTGTTCTGGTTTGAATCAGTGGACCAGTTAAAGCAGGCCGAGAAAATTCGAGGACCTGGCCCAGCACCCGTCATTCGCCTACCATCTCTGGCCAGACCCTACGAGCAGTTTCAGAAATGGGTTCTGCAAGTTCTCTCAACCACTCAGGTGACACAAAACGTCATCCTCCTGGCACTGCTCTTCATCTATCGCCTGAAGAGGTCAACACCTCAAATCAAAGGCAGAGCAGGCAGTGAGTATAGGTTGCTCATCGTGGCGCTCATGCTGGGAAACAAATGTGAGCTCCCGCATCAATGATCTCATCCAGATCGACCCTAAGTACTGACATGTCCCCAGTCCTTGACGATAACACTTACACGAACAAAACGTGGGCCGAGGTTTCGGCCTTCGCCGTGAAGGAAATCCACATCATGGAGGTCGAATTTCTCAGCAATATGCGATATAATCTTCTTGCATCCCAGCAAGAGTGGGAGGAGTGGCTCGAGAAGCTGGCATGCTTCCGCGAATATTACGAACGAGCTGCCCGTCTGCCCGCCTCCCCAGTTCATATCCCCGCTTCTGCCAACAGTCTCCCTCACTCCCCTATTCCCTCCCCCACGAACCCAATTGCCCCCATGATTCCTGATATGCTTCCTGTGACTCCCTCGGGCATGCACAGTTTGTCACCAAGCGCTAACCGGACTATCGACTGGTCAACTTATATGGAGAATACATCACCGCTAGCTGGTAAGCGTGCAATCAATCTACCACGTCGGAAGCGAAGCTTTGAGGACGACGCATCTGAACACCCTGCGAAACGAGCAGTGCCCGTATCCCGTCTCGCGCACCCTGCTGGAAGACTCCCAGCGCCTCACCCGATCATGATGACGAACCCGGTCCAAAATCAGGTCCAAAACCTACCCCCACCACCACTCATGATCAACACCCAGAACAACACCTCCTATCCACAGGCAGGATATGTGCCTCCCACAGCATCCACCACAGTGAACCCGGGCCATGTGTCGTTGCCTCCCCTACAACCTGGCATGCGAGCAATGTCAACCGTGTATCAACCACCAACAATTCAGGTTCCGCAGCCACCACAGGCCATGCCAGTAACCACGGCGCCCACTTTGCCTGTGAGCGCCTATCCCGCACCTACCCTACCAAGCCATCCCCAGCCTGCCTTTGGTTCAGCAAAGCACCGCAGCCCTGGAAGTCTTGCTCCTTTCACTACCTCTCCCCTGCCTGATCACTTTGGTGGGAACTCTGGCATGCACACTCCAGTCGCGCAAACCCCGATGTCGCACTCGCCGACTTTCTATCTACAGCAGCGCAATAGCCCCTACAAACCCATTCGACATGTCAACACCCTTCTTTACCCCCCTGCTGCGTCTCTCGACCAGTACCATCTCTCCGTACCGCTTGAGCCTACTCAGATGCATTATCATCCCCTTGGACGTCGCAACATCGTACGGACCGGTGTTGTGCCTGAATTCCTTGTCTACAACCGGGGCCAGCATCCACCTCTACCTTCTCAATTCACGCCTCAAGGACACTATGCTGCGTAGGAGTGGCCGACATCCTATGGCACGGAGCTACAGAGGCTGGCTCACCTTCACTACTATGGCCATCGCTGGTAACAGCAAACCACTGAAGCAACCTCCGGTTCATGGTAATTCTACCGTGTCTGCCCTTCTTCTACCTGAACGACTACTCTTCTTTTCTTTTACTCTCGTTGATTTGTTCTTTTGGTTTCATCTTGGTTCTGAATTACAGTTGGTTCTAAAGGAGTCAGGGTTCTTTTTTTTTTTTTTTTCAATTTTTTTTTTCTCACATGGCATCGCACAGCATCGAATGGATGGCATCATTTTGGCGTTTCGGAATCAGAAGGGAATTTCTTTCCCTTTCACTCAGTCATAGACAGGCTGGGGAGGGCCTCACCGGTTCATGCATAGTAAGGAGTTTCGGTTATTTTCTTCCCGTGGTAAGGGAAGCGGACAAAGGGCATAAAACAAAGGGAGAGGGCAGGCAACCGCATGCTCAATGCAGCGCATTTGTCTCACATTATCCCTCTACCAAGATAGATTAGTTCTAGTTAGAGATTGAGGGTTCCTACAAAAGGAGAAATACTTCACCCCCCAGACAATGGATAGAATACATTGTCAGCAATGGCATTACCACCCAGCAAGGGAAGATATCGAAGTGAATAGAAACTCAAACCCCCAAATTTGCTTGCTTTGTTGTGCGTGAATGTGATAATGTGAAGTTGGGTGCCAATTCGAGAGCCACCAACCGGCGCTCCAAGTCTTACGGTTATCGAATGCGAACCTCGTATAACGGTCCCGTTGGGTGGCGCCGCAAGCGCCCAGAGCGATGATAGTTAAGCGCACCGGGAGCTTCTTCCCACTCAATGTTATCTACTCATCATTTAGTCAAGCGAGCTTTATCCCTGGAGAGCCATGAAGCAATGAGCAACTCCAGCTTCACTTTGCAAAGCTGCAAAGCTGCAAAGCTAGCCAGCGGCTACTGCCACGCATTCCTCGCCTCTTGGTCTCGTTGCTCCGGGAAATGAATTGACTTCCTGGGGTCAGCTGGTTTAGCGCCGAGCTAAGGTGTAACGGTGCAAGTGCGGTGCCTGCCATAATCATGCCGCATCTGGTCAAGAGTTCCCTGCGAGCACTGCACTAATATTTCTGTCCAGCTGCCCAATGTGGGACTCTCGCCGCAGGGATGCGCGGGAAGGAGCAGATGGGGGCTTGTGCTCAGCTTGAGTGGATGGATTTCCCTGCCCGCTCTCTCCTCTCAGTGTGTCTCTGCGCCATTCTCTCCCTTTTCCACGGCAACGAGGCACCACCACTTGGTCCATCCTCCAACACGCGGGTCCAGCCTCGATAGTCTGTCTCTCTTCCGCCCTCACACTCGCTTACATACTCTATACCCAACTACATACACAAGAGACGATCGCCTTTTCTCCTTCATTCTTATCCGAATCCATTCGTCACTCTTCGCATCTTACCAGCGTTTCCTTCGTTCAGTACGACCCCCTCCGCAACGACGATCGAATCAACAACTTCTTGGAGGCTTCATTGGTGTCAAAAGGGTGGCCGACTCGATAATCAACTGCCCTGTTTTGCTAGTCTTATTTCCCTCGCCTACATATTCTGATCGACTCGACCTCGCGCACGCTACCTTGTCGTCCCTTCGCACACCCCGAGTCCGAGTTGTAGGAGCCTCGCCTCGGCCAGACTTTCAACGAACCTCCGATTCCCACACCACCTACTTCTAGACGGTCGTCATCGAAGCCGCCACCATGTCGGGCTTTGGTGACTTCACCAGCATCTGCGAGACGGCGCCGCTGCCGTTGTGCGCGTCTCTTGGGCCGGTAATGTCGTCTGGCCGCGTTGGGATCGAGCCCAACTGCTATTCGCGCAACATCGAGCTCGCCAACACCATCATCTTCGAGGGGGCTACGGCCGTCATACACATCGTGGCTATCCTCATGACGATTATCATGATTCTTCACATCCGCTCCAAGTTCACTGCCGTCGGTCGCCAAGAGATTCTGACATTCTTCTACCTGTATATGCTCCTCACCTTCATCTCTCTCGTCGTCGATGCTGGAGTTGTCCCGCCTGGTAGCGATCCCTACCCGTACTTTGTGTGCATACAAAACGGCCTGAGCAGTGCGCTTGTGACCTGCCTTCTTATCAACGGGTTTGTGGGATTTCAACTATACGAGGATGGTACGCCACTGTCATTATGGATGCTGCGTCTCATCTCTGCGTTCTCTTTCGCCATTACTTTCCTTGTCTCCCTGGGTACATTCAAGTCAGTGGCTGGCATGAGCCCTACAGAAACCATCGGCTTGTTTGTCGTGCTGTATCTGTTGAACGCCATCCAGCTCTTCGTCTATGTCGGCATGCAAATCTTGCTGGTCGTGAGGACCCTTCAGGATCGCTGGCCTCTGGGTGATATTGCTTTTGGCATCTTCTTTTTCATCGTGGGCCAGGTCATCTTGTACGCCTTCAGCTCCCAGATCTGCGACGCCGTCGCTCACTACTTCGATGGCCTGCTCATCGCAACCGTCACCAACCTTCTCGGCGTTATGATGGTGTATAAGGTATGTTTTCACTCTATTCTTCTACCCTACCCCACCCCATTAAAACATGTGGCTTACATTCATGTGATAGTACTGGGATTCAATTACCAAGGAGGATCTTGAATTCTCCGTAGGTACCAAGATGAACAACTGGGAGGTCAAGGAACTACTCCCCGAGGAAGAGCGACGTAACACTGTCTTCATGGACGACCCGTACGGCAACACGAGCGGATATGACATGTCACAACTCTCACCATCAACGCCCCGATACTCAGCCAAGTACTAAATCCTGATTTCGAGCTATACGACAGCCTGGGCGCTCTTTGTCATGTTTTTCTATTTTATTCCAGCCTTTTGATATGATTGTTTTGGGACAATAAACCGGCGCATGGGGGGGCTATTCTGATTTCGACGTTTTTTATATCTGTCCGCTCATTCCCCTCGCGGATGACACCTTAATCGAATTAGGGCGGAGATTCTAATCATATATCCATCTTTGTTGAAGTGGGGGAGGAGCACTTGTCTGGGTCTGAAAAGGATACATCATACTCGTCACGAGAGTTGCAAAAGCGTCGACACACTACATCTTTCTCGTTCTAGCTTGTCGCCTCGAATCCCCACATGTGTGGCCACGAATGCCGCGACACTGGTGTCAACGACGAGCGGTCAGGGAGGGAGATCAGCTGCAACTATGTAATGATGCATGGGCGCTGAGCATTTGCATTAATATCTCTGCTGCAGTGCCAGGGGGGCATTTGATGTGTGCCTGCAGATTAAAGCATCGCAAATAAGTATATAGGTTAAGAGTAGTATTACAAATATAAATAGCATTATATTTACCAGCTTGAACTGGGTAGTTTCTGATCCATAATCAAGGCATGACAGTGTAGAGGGGGAAGTTCCGAAAGAGGCTATATAACATCAGCAGCTCTTACCATTGTCCCATCAGCATCAGCAGCAAGGGAATAATTAGTAATGTACATGCACATACACGTATAGGAATATGCTGGATACTAGCGATTCTCACCCTTGGCCCGAGGGGACCAGCGACATGTTTCCAGATCAAGGTTGACTAGGTACCTTACCTGGCGGTGGACCCCCGGAGCCACCTCGGGGCATGTCGCACCAGCTTACTTAGACTACTCTGTCTATTTTTCAGCCCGGGCGCAACGAGTGGCCAGCAACCTTCCCGTTTTATGCATGTTGGTTCAGCGTCGTAAGAAACGGGAATAAGAAAAAAAATAAGTCATCAAAAGGGCCCCTAGAAAACAGATAGAGAGTGAAGTGGAGCGTTTCTGCGGCGTGGCGGGAAAACCGTACGATACGATAATAACACCGCACTTTTCCTGACTAGCCGTTCATTTTAGCCTGCTGGTTTTTAGTGCGGGTTGGGTGATATAGCGAGGGCGGGCCATATTTCGCCTTCCCACTCTATGTGTAGCCTTGGGAAATAAAAGAAAGAGGGCGGTTTGGACTGACTAGCTCGTTGGGCTAGCATTAATATAAATGATGTGTTTGTGCTAGGCTTTGGCCCCTCCTGGGCAAGTGTGGATGGTCCCCGTCGGCGATTAGGCCAGGGCGGTTATAGTGGTGGTTAATTAAAAACAAGGACAACTGGGTCCTCATCTTCTTTTTTTTCTTACGTAGCAGACACGAGAGAGTGTGTTGAAGAGAGAGAGGTCATTCCTGGGATGATGCGAAGGGTGGGCCAGAGGATCTGATGTGTCAGGTTGAATTGGCTCTACTGCAGACAGAGGGAGGATTGGATGGTTAGCTGGCTTTGCGAGACGGATATATGCAGATGGGATGGCACAGCTGGCAGGGCGTAGCGAGGGTGGCGGACAAGGGTGCATAAGGTTGTGATTTCCGATGCAGAAGCAAATAGTAATGGAATGGGCTAATAATATGTCGTTATAGGTAGGTAAGGCAGGAATATAGGCTCTCGAAAAAAACCAAAGATTAAAAGGGAAAAAAGTTCAGCAGGACCAGGGGGGGTTTGCTTTTGGGCTGGTGGAGCCTCGAAAAATAAGACCTGAGCGCAACGAGAAGCAAATATTGGCGGATAGAGCTGGCTTGTACCTTGGCGGTACCTCCAGCTCTCCCCACCCTCCGAAGGGAAACTATGAAAGGGTCTGACCACCGGTCGAGCGGCCGGTTTTGGCCGACGAGGTGGTGCTCTAACGGATATTTGTGGTCAATAGTGCCAATTTTCGGATAACGAAACGGGGGCAGCAGAGCAGGTTTGCGGGTTAGTCTTTTGCCGTTCCCTCCCCCATGCACCTCCGGAAGGGGGAGAGAGTGGTTGGTGGGTTTACGGATGTTGCTGAGTCGCGCGACGCCAGTCTATTCTGTTGCCAACACGAAGGAATCCGACTATGCTGTTGGTTGAGTGCCTGCATAAGCCAGATAGATACCTTGGCGCTACTTGCAGGGGGCAACCTTGTGATGTGATGGGCTAGTCTTACTGGGTGTTATGACGACTCAAATCTCCGTGGAGGGAAAAAGTTGTCGGTACGCCGATAGACTTCGCGGTTGCGTATTGTCCAATTGACGACCATGGCGGTGTATAGTCGTGTTTCATCCCTCTGCCATTTCCCATATATCCTTCAAGAAACCAAGGCCGACGTATTTCGGTTTCCCTGCTTGATAGCGTCAAGGCAAGCTTCCCGGGTGGCTGCATTTACGTACTTAGTGGCATCTTTATGCCTGCATCCAATAAAGATGACGACTAGCAGGTACTTTGGTCGATGTCCAATAAAGCGTGACACCACATTGGCATGTGCCGGCTGCGACGTCGACAGCAGAAAAAAGGAGCAGGACTTGCGCAGGACCAACAACGGCTATAGGATGCAGGGTAGCATTGCGAAATGGAAATGTCTGTGTGAGGCAAGGCAAAAGCAAGGCCAGGCAATGTGGATAGGCCAGGTAGGTAGTATTACTAGCAGCCAACCTAGCCATTAGGTGCCCAGCTAGTCTTCGCTCAGGATCAGACACGAAACGCCATGTTGAAAAAGAACCTTTTTCCCATGCTCAAAGTAGGCTGGTCAGACAGACTAGGAAGAACGCGCCGATGGATCAGCGTCGAATGGCGACGGACGTGGAGGGACTATTGCAGCATCTATAATTGCTTCCTAATTCATCAAGATCATGTCAACTGTCTCAGTTCTCTCGCAGCAGCCAGCGACAGGGCCGGATATCCCTGGCTTCGAGGACCCCCTCGCGAGGAAAGCTGTCTCATAGGTCTGGCAGTTTATATTAGTGCCTCTGGCTGAGTGGTGCTGCATGCCTTAATATCCAGCATCCCTATCAATACCGGGCCCGGTTAATGACCAGGCAAGCAAATGAAATAGGCCAGAATACATCGACCTGCTAGCAAGGTCAAGGCCGGCAGGGCAGCTGATCACTGGTCGCTGCTGGCGAGTACCCGCCAATTAACTTAAAAGACACCTACCTCCGACCCAGAACAGCTAGCCCGCCTCACCATCTCGGAGACTAAGATGGTAGTACAGTGCCTTTGCCTCGCTCCGGTTCCGTGCAAGTACCTCAGGACCCTTCGGCGTCGGCCTTTCCTGTCAAATTATATGTCGACGAGGACCAACCAGCTAGCTCCGGAGACCTCCCAGAACCAGAGCCAGACACACCCGTCTGCAGATAGACGGACCCAGTTGCCTGTGTGGACTGCTGGCGGCTATTGCTTGTTTGTTGCCACCAGCCAACACCAACAACCAGCCAAACCAAACCAGCCCAAACCAAGCCTGCTCAATGGACACCTGCCTGCGCACGGGTTTAATTAGAGGTACCTGACCTGCCTGGCCTGATCTGATCTGACCCGGGGGGACATCATCTGCATCTGCATCTGCATCCATCGTAGGCAGCTCCTCCGCCAGCGAGTCCCAGGTTGGCAGCCGGCGCGACAATTCGCATCGCATCACATCGCGGTGGATCGTCGCGAGCCAGGTTCCATTGCTTGCAGAGAGATTCGAAAAAGGTAGGTCGGCCCCCAGCGCGCTGTGTTACCCGTAGCTAGTGCGTGCCTCTCGCTACGAGTGACCTGACTTGCTATTATTGCCTCTCCATCGATGACTGTTGCTGACCTCCCACTAGCTCCAGCGCAGTGCGTGCCTTATCCACTCGCGCAACTGCCGCCAGGTGACGCGACTTGATTCTCTCTCGACTTCTGGCCTATGCAAATCAGCCTTTCCCTTTCCTCTCCCATCCCGTTCTTTTGCATTCTGGCATCCATCCCTCCCGTCCTTCGTTCGACACCCCCGTCGCTCACCTCACCTCACCTCACCTCGCTCCGCCCCATCTGTTGGTCCAGCGCGGGTGGTACTTTTCTCTACCTACTTTTTTTTAGCCTTTCTTGTTCCGGAGCTTATTATCGCTTTGGACTATATTCTTCGCCCACTCTTTCTTTCCTTTTCCCTTCTCTCTTCCTTTCCGTCTTCGCGAAGCTTGTTCCTTGTCTTGGGCCACTCGCCTATTCCTACTTATTCCTTTTTCCCCCTTCCATCTCCAGCCCTGGACGACGTCCCGCTGCTAGTGCAACCTGCCTCCCCTGTCGGATCCGACCAGGAGGAGCCGCATTTCTCACTTCATCTGCACCGGGATCCAAACCACGGCGCGACAGTTTGGACATTTGCCTCTTCCTGCAATCATCGGATATAGTTTGCTGTGGGGTTTGCATGGTGTCCTCTCCGCGAAGACGGATTCGCCTGGCGCCCCCCCAAAAAACACCACTTCGACGCAACTTCTCCTTTAGCCAAGTGTCTCACCTGTTTACGGGATCGCGCCCATCTCAGCCACCAGAGACATCGCCGCCCTTCCCAAGTAACCGGATCTAGGATTTTTGGGACAACATCGCAGATCAAGGCCCCCCCTTTTGCTTGAGATCCCATTGAGAAATTTGTAATCCGCAAGGTATGTGTTCTATCTTACACCACGTCCTGGCAGGGTACATCCCAAGCATCGCCGACCCTGGTTCTCACTATATTCCATGAAGGTTCACACGGTCTTGTTAGCAAGCTTTCGCCCGGCGCATTTCGTTCGTGGCTCTATAACTCCAACGGCCTCCACCCCATGGTCTATGGTCTGACACGCAACGCGCGGTTCTGATATTGTCTTTTGTCCGTGCTTACTTTCACCTGCTTATTGATCTAGCTCCGCGAGAGCAGGCTGCCCAAGATGGACGACGAAGAGGCTATCTGGGGCACCCTCTCAACCGAGGAGCACCGTTCGGTCTGGGAGGAGACGGAGGCAAATTTCTGGGCCAAGTTTGCCCTGGAGCAGAAGGAGTGGCGCTCCGAGCAGGAGCTAGATTTCAACGAAGCCAGCGTCGAACTTCGCGCTGAGCTTACCAGCCTTACTGGCCAGCGGAAGCAGCTTACCGAGACCCAGGAGAGACTCAACGCGCAGCTGGCCAAGGTGGCAGGTGATCTGAGGAATGTGGTTGAGCAATGCGACGCCAGGACACATGAACTGTCCGAGTTGGATCAGGCTTATCGCAAGAGACTTGAGGAACAGTCGGAGAAATGGGAAGTCCAGCGGTCAACTATGCAGCGGTTCTTCAAGGAGAAGCACGGCGGGTCGGTTCACAGCGATGATGAGGAAGACGAGGAAGACGAAGAGGAGGCAGAGGATGAACCCATGGTTGATCTACCTGTTACCGTGCAGCAGACAATTATCCCCAGGAACCCCAAGATCAAGGAGTTCAGGGAAAGTGGGAAGAGGAGCCCCAAGCCAATACCGATGGTGGAGCACCGTGAAAAGAGGAGGAAGCACACCGAACCTTTGGTCAATGTGATTGATATCACCGGTCGCGTCATTGGTCCTGTGGAGCTCATCGAGCCATGGAATAAATGGGTGAAGGAAATTCTCAAACTCCCCATCCGGCGCCCTGTCACCATCCGCCCGGGACGGCGCTTCACCGATGAGCACTTGTCGACCATCTACGAGCGTAGCGAGTCCAAGGGAGTTAAGTGGCTCTCGTGCATGATCCAGGCGATTGGACAGATTCAGTCCAAGAGGTGTGCGTCCTGTGAAAAGAACCAGGGTGTCTTCCAGCAGTGCATCATTGTCGGCGGCGAACTCTTACAGAAATGCGGCAACTGTGAATGGAATAGGCAGGGATGCCATGGCGCCTCTGGCGAGGGCATCGATTTCAAGGAGGCTGCTGAGCGCATGGAGGAGATTCAGAAGGCTAGGGCGGAGCAGAAGCTTCCGGCCTCCCCCGAATATCCAAGAGACGAGGCTGATAACAACAGACGCCTAGCCACCCATCTGAAGGCCATGTTCCCAGAGAGAGAAAAGCTAGAGAGAGAAAAGCTAGAGTCCAACGGGACCAGTGAAAGAAGACTAGAACCAAAGCCGCCTTTTGAAGGGCCCCCGGTGGAGGTGGAAAGCCTCGCCAACCCTGCTTGGCAAACAATTCGAATGAAAACATCTGACGCACTGTTAATCAATGGGTCTACACCATCCAGGATTCTACCTGGCGGCTCTTCGCCGACCCTGATCAGGACCCCTCTGGCTCCGGCACCTAGGGTTCCCCTCCCATCATCTGGTTTCACACCTGCAAACCCTCACAGCCGACCATCATCAAGGCCACCTTCGAGACCACCTTCAAACGATACATCGACACCAAAGGGAGGATCACTCGAACCGTCGCCCCAGGCGTCACCTCACCTGCCATCATTGCTCCCTGCTGGCCCGAGACCTATTTACCCGCCCGAGCCGCTGGAAGAAATCAATAAGGACAACCTAGTTTTGCGCCACAACGGCGAGGTGTACACACACCCCGATTGCATGGTTGGTGTCCCAGTGGCGAAAATTGACTGGAACCATCCCTATTGGGATCGAACGTGGAAGGACATCCGGGCAGAAGTGCAGGACTCGCGGGAACGATGGGTACAAAAGCAAAAGGCTATTCACCTGGCCGAAGCACGCAAGGAGGCGTGTGGGTCATCCAAATACCAAGCCGGCCGACAAATCAACCGCGGTACCAAGATCCTCGAGTTTCTCGACGAGGGCGAAATCAGCCCCTATCAGCTCCTGGCGAAGAAGCATATGCACGCTAGTAAGGGAGGCATTGCGTCTTACGACACCCTGTTCCGACTTTGCGACACGGTCTCGGAGCTCCAGAAGTACAATCTTGACATCACGCCTTTGGAATGGATCCGGCATCGACTGCATGAACTTATACAGGCTGAGGGCAAGTCGTTCAACCTACCTCGGACGATGCATGATTTCTACCATGACCCGAAGCTAAGTGCTCTGCGAACCAAGCACGGCTACAAGAATATAGGGCGCCCGTCTGCCGCAAAGACTGGCCGTTCGAGCCTGGGCGCTACGACTCCTAGCGGCACACCACAGCCTCTGAAGAAGCGCAAGAGCATGTTGCTCGATTCCGAGATCACACCGGCTTCTTCCCGAGTCGCATCTCCCACCCCATCGTCCCATGGCGGGGGACCTCGGATTCACGATTTGCTGAATAGCCCCAATGGCCCAGCTGTCAAGCGTCCTCGTACCCAGGAAGACTCTGTGGGCTTCAACGAGAAGCGGCCGTCTCCAGTCATTGACATGACCCCCAGCAAAGCCCTGTTAGGAGATGAAACATTCTTTATCTCAAGAGTCAGGGAGTCTGGATACGAATCACCACCCCACTTCCATCTCTTCTGGAAGTTCCACCCCATCCAAAGGTCGCTGCAACTTTGCGGTCTTCCAAATGACAACAACATCGTTCAGCTTCACCAACTCACTGCGGGAGTGTCGTTGAATGATATTATGAGTGTCAGGTGGAGTCCAGAGTCGCTTTGCATTGTGATAATGCGAAAGGTGGAGCTTTTCAATCCGCCCACCTTTGCGAAGACGCTCTGCTCATTCCACGAGAAGGGCGCTCTTGACCGCTTCCTCGATTTTTGCAAGGCTCAACGCCTCAACCTAATTGCCTATTCTAGGTAAGTCACCCCCCGATCACTGACTTGGATTTGACTAACGTTGTTTGCAGAGCCGAAGTAGAGGCAGACTGGCCAAAGGCTTAGGAAAAGCTGTAATTTCAAGTACATTAAGGACATAATCTTACTTCATTTGATAATACGATGCGGCTATAGCATCATATTCTCGACATCCTCGTTCTTAGCAACAAATCAGTTTCACATGGCGTTTATCCCAAGACGCCAACTGAAAACGACATAGTTCAGCTCTTCATGGGGAGTTTGCACTGCTTCTTTACCTTTTCTTCCGTTCTGCATCGTTCTTGCCTCATCACCTCGGCGTTTTGGCTATAGTCCTGGTTCATCCTCGTTCCATCATCCCCTGTTCAAGGGGGACACAATACCCAGTTTTCTTTCTCGTCTTTCTACGATAGACAGTTTCTCATCGTTTTCCTGCGATTTACTGCTTCGTGCTCGCTCAGACTCGGAGCTGGGGGGACCAATGGCGTTTTGTGGTGTGAATTTAACACTGCCGGGGAGGGTATACCTCAGTCTTTTCCTCCTTTTTTTTTCTTTTGTTCCATCAAAAAAGGATACCCCTTTGAGGATTCGGGTTCGGCCAACAAGATCAGGAGGATATGGGCGTTTAGACACGTCCCATGCCTGTCTTTTATAGGGCCAATGGCGGGAGGCTTTCTGATTTTTTTCTTCTCTTCTTCTTTCCGGCTTAAAATAATCCATGTTTTTAATTACTCTAGATCAGCATGGCTGGGAAGCAATTCACATACGAGGCAACCTCAAGGAGTCATACTGTTTTTTCAAATCATCATTCCCTCCCTCTTTTTATATCTAAGAAGGGGGTTAAAACAAAAGAGGAATAAGTAATTTACCAATCTCGATGTTTTCATTAATGCAGTGTTCATTGCTATGCTACCTGTAATATAAATGTTCCGATCCAAACCAAACTCCCATGACCTTCTAACCGCTGTTCATCTTCTTCTCAACGTCCGTGCTGTAGTTACCGACACCCTGCTGCTGGCGGGCGGCTTCGCGGCGACCGCGCCGGGGACTTCGGCGGCGTCGATCCCGAGCAGGCGGCTCATGAGCTCTGCCTTGTGGGTTTGGGCCTCGGGATCGGCATATCCGATCTGGGTGGACGGAGGCTTGGCCTGCTCCTCCTCGTCTGCCCCGTCGTCCCGGAAACCGCCGCCGCCAGCGGACTGCGGCGCCGAGGCGTTGTCGCCCGCCGCGACGCTCGACGCGTTGCTCATCGCGCGGCCGAGGATCTGGCGCTTGCGCGGACGGGGTCCCGTGGTGTCACGCTCGCCGTTGGTGGTGTTGGCGGTGTGCGTGTCCGGGGTATCGAGGAGGGTGGTGATTTTCGAGGTGAGGGCTTGGCGCTCGGCTGCTTTGGCTAGACGGGCTGCCTCTTCGGCAGGGGTGAGGGGGGTTGCCTTGCCTAAGGGCGCAATGGACGAGGATGACTTGCTCAGCGGTGGAGGTTGTTGTGGTGTGTGGAGGTGTTTGTCGTGGGAAGGGTCGGAGACTGTACGGGATAATGCGGTTGTTGATCTGGGTGCCGTTTGGGGCTTGTGGTTCAATGCATCCGAGGAGAGTTCTCGAAGAGGAGGGTCGGGGCCAGTATCAGTCGAGGCTGCATTTGGCGCCGTGAAGAAATCTGCTGAGGTTGTCGTGTCGGCTCGAATGATGGGTTTCCTCTGTACAGGCTTTGCTGGGGGGCTCTCACTAGAGTCACGCTCAAACCCGGAGAAATCGAGGCGCTTTCTGTTGCTCTTCGGGCCGTTAGCGGCTTGGGTCCCAGGGTCTGATCGAGATCTCAACTCAGGCCGACTGCTCGCTTGCGACTTCTTCGCCTGCTCAGCTAGAGGCTTGGCCTTGAGTTCTGGGAACACAAAGTCGTCAAAGGGCGCTTTAAACCCAGTAGAGATACATCCCCATAGCCAGTCCGCAGACACGATTGGGACCCCCCAGCTGAGAGCACACTTCAGCTTCTCCTTGCGCATGGCTGCTAGTGATTTACAGACCACGACACTAGTGGTTTTGCAGAACCTCTCCTCAAATTTGGCACCCAGCTGCACAACACTTCGTGCAACCTGACTCAGCTCAATATCAGTGAATGCAGCGCTGCATATAGTCAAGTCTGAGAACCCTGGTATGGGAAACACTGGGAATGGTCTGCCAAAAGCTTGGTGGCTATCTGGAGGTAAGAATCTGCGGCTCTGAAGACACCGCTCAATATAAAACTCAGTGACAACATTGAGACCATCGTGAGGAGCTTGCGGGTGGGTTTCGGGCTGCGTATCCTGGGGAACGATTAGGAATTGATGCCACGGTGAACCATATTTGGACTGATCAGCAGCCTCTTCAAGTGAGTTGACTAGATGGCCACCACCCGACGTGATTGTTTGAGAGAGAACTGCGACTCTTTGTTCCCTGAAACCATGAATAAAGAAAACACATCGTGAGAAAATCCCCTCTTTCTCTGGTACAGGAACTTTCTCCGGTACAGAGGGCTGTTCTGGTTGCTCAGGCTTCTTAGATTCAGCTTTCTGCGGTTGTGCTTCTGGTTGGCCTTCGCGAGGTTCGAGGGAATCTGGTGAGGGGCCCCCAGCCAAAATATCACCCCAAAGTTTGTCTCGTTGGTTGTTGAGCTTCATGCTTGCAATTCTTCTGAGCTTTCTCGCGCCTTCATCTACCCCATTTGCTCCAACACTCGGCCTCTTGCCAAGTGCCTGACGAGGCGGGTGTTTTATGGCTATCGCTCCAACACCCTGTTGTTCCGGTGGCAACATTGGATCGAACTTGTCCTCGTCGAGAATCATGCCCCGCCCAATACTCTGGGTGACCCATTCAAGGGTCACGATCTTCACACCCCATGTCTGTGCAGCCACAAACTTTTTGCCTTTGGGCTTCTTTACAACGAGATGTGATGACTGAACCGACAAGTGATCCATGTAGTACCCCCCATTGGCAGTAATCTGGGCTGCGATCTCGTCGTTCTGTTCTCCAAATCCGGACAGACATATACGAAGCTGTTCCCGATCGAGGGGCTCATGTGGTCGGGTCAACTGCTTCGCCCCTCTGGACTCGAACGTTTTGAGTCGGTACTTTTCCTCGAGTCCATAGAAGTCGATCACCTCGTCATTCTTCCACAAGTCCGAGACTGAATGGACCCAGGCGGCATCCATTGCCTTGATATCTTGGCGGTGACGGGCGACATGGCGGTATTTGGGCGTGTCGTACTCGCCGACGATGAGATGCGTCACATCGGGAGTGAGGTCGAGTTTGTGAACGCCTCCGAGGTCAACAACCTGCTGAGCGATTTGGATCTGCCATGCGGGAAAGGTATACGAATTAGACGCCACTCGGTGACAACAGCCACAGGGAAGGGAGCGGGGGACTTACACGGTGCTCGGAGGATATGCTGGTGCAGCAGACAACGAGGCCCTTGAAAGGTTCGGCAGGATCTATAGCGGGAAGATTGTCGTCATTGGGATTTGGAGACACCATATCGCCATGCCCGGAGAAGTCGACGGTCTTGCTCTCAGAACCGTTCGTAGAGGGTGGCACGGCAAGGATGCTTTCTCCGCGATAAGGTTGGAGATGGCCAAAATATTTGGGACTAACAATCGAGGTCAATCAACGCGACACACGTGCAGCACCGCGTTTGGCCCACCCACACTGTATCACCCAGCCCAGACGTCATTTGCCGGTGCCAGAAACACTGAGCGCGTCCGCCCCGCACTGTACACAGGCCTGTAGAGCGGGTATCCGTCCACCAGTAAGGCCTAGAAGCACCGTGCTGCTGGCACCGTGGTCGGGTCCACGGCCCCCAGCGTTAGGCTCATTTCTTAGCCTGAAGGTGCCTTGTAATCAATCTTAGTTCACGGACAATTCGTCCTTGTATAACAATCGGCCCCAAGGCACCATCTGCACACTTCCTGCGAACAGCCCAACTCCCTCCGCATCTCGCTAGCCGCACGCTCAAGCCATGGCCCCTTCGTCTGCCCAAATCAAGTCTCTGGTCACCCAGTTCCATGACTTATCTGGGGCCCCCGAGCGCGTAGCATCTCGGGTAAGTGTGTCCAAGAGCCATCACCTTCCCCTCCAAGCCCCGCCCCCTCCATGATAGAGCACTCGAGGCGGCCAACGATCACAATCAGCCCATCGCGTTCACATTCTGACCACTGGTCCCTGCTCTCTATACATGGCTAGAGGTCGCTGCTAATACGAGATCCTCATAGTACCTAAAGGCGACCAACTATAGACTAGATGCCGCTCTTGATTCGTAAGTACTCCACGGGCAACACGACCACCTCAACCGCCGCACCCACCCACCGATCCACTGAAATGAGCACACCGAACTGTAGCCGTTTGGTATCTATATCCTAGTATGGAACTGGATCAGCGACGAGACTAGCCGATGAGGGACCCGAGGTGTGCCCGCCATACCCCCGAACGAGATGCCCTATGTATGCCTTCGAGCCTGAGGGAAACCTCTGTGCATAAGCGTTCGCTTCTCTGAGCATGGATGGACTGGCGATCACGCTGTTCCGAGGCCAAGGATATAGCCATCTGTCTTGGATAGGACCTGTATCTGAATGGATGCGTTCCCGCGCTATTCCACCAGGTAACACAGCAACAAGTGTTGACTTCCAAACCCCGAGATTACTTGTCAAGATCGGTTCAGACTTAGATTCTGATCATCGACTATGGCTAGCGATCGCTCATCGTCAGAATACATCCTCTCTTTTTAGCCATCAACCAACAACTGATCCCTACTTCTCCGACGGCACCTTCCGATTACAGAGGAAGACCACTCACTTGGACCCGAAACTGACCAGTGATGTAGATATTATGCAGGAAACAACGATGCAAAACCTTCTCCATTAGAGACTCGACTCAGTTCTCTTTTCGATTCGTTAAGAGGTATGATCCGATAGCTACAACCAGTGAGGCCTGTCTAACTCTAGCAAACAGATGCCAAAAATGACGAGAAGGATAAAATGGAGGTTAATTCTACGATGAGCTACCTCGGGCAAAAGTTGGGAGTCAGCTTGGAAAATGCTGAGCTTTTTGTTGTCTTGGAGCTTGTCCAAGCACCGAGCGTGGGAGAGATCACCCGCGCTGGCTTTATCGAGGGATGGAAGGCTACCAGGTATATTCCGCCAGCGAAGCATAGTCACGGCCAATACTAACCTCGTGATTACAGGGCTGAAGCGACCGTCGAAGCACAAGCCGCTTATGTTCAGAACTTGATTTCCTCCCTTTCATCTGACCCAGCGTACTTCAAAAAGGTGTACAAGCATGTCTTTGTTGCTGGAAGAGAGGGCGACCAGAAGGCTCTGGGTCTTGACGTCGCGCAAGTCTATTGGGGAATCCTCTTCTCTGAGCCAGGACTGAAATGGACCAGCCCGAAGTATGACTGGCTAGACCTCTGGAAGAAGTTCCTGGCCGAGAAGTGGACTCGCTCCGTCAACAGAGACATGTGGAACATGACTCTCGAGTTCGCCTTGAAGTCCAAAGAAGATGAGTCCCTCTCTTTCTGGAATGAGGATGGAGCATGGCCCAGCGTCATTGATGATTTCGTGGAGTGGTGCAAGAACAACGGTATTGGCGGCGGTCCCGGCCCCGCCCCCGTCGTCAGGTCTACAATGATGGATTTGGACGACATCAACTAGAAAAGAGATGATCGGTCTGGACTTAAATTGTTGTCAGAGGGGTGATTTGGTAGATACCAGTCCCCTGAGGAAACGTTGATTATGAGGTACCAATGTGGTATCCAAGAAGCATGGCGTCTAGTATTTGGGATGGATTATGACTCTTTCTTATTTATTGTATTGTAGTGGATACGTCAACAGCACAGCACCAAATGTGAGGGACTTGCCTCCATTACCAGCTGTGTTGAACTGGTTCAAACACTCGCATACATATCATACGTTTAGCGTTAGTAGGATCCGCACACGGATATTATAGTTCTTTTTTAAGTGAATTTTGTGGTATTATTTCTTTGGCTTTTGGTAATGTATAATAGCAGCTTTTGTACATGGCGTTAGTTGCCCCCAATTCTCAGAGTCTCAATAAGCGTACAATATATGTTGGATCGTTTTGCTGTGTCTTCCACCTAACAGTCAGTTGTTCGTTTCATTCCCGTCTTTTTCTTTCTTTTTCTAGGGGTTTCACATCTTATGATCTCGATTCTTGCCACTTGGGCGCCCCGAATCGCGCAAGGGTCTCAAGCTTTCCGTCGCCGAGCTTGACGTGCGCCGACCGAATCATTCTGGGCTCTAGGCGGAGTGTGGAGCGGACATCTTGGTGCACCTTGGTCGAGGCGTCGTATCGCATAACGAAGTAGTGGCCGTGGGTGTGCCTCATCTGATGGATGGAAACGGGTCGGGGGAGGGCGAACACGCCCCAGTTGGCAAGGCCGCGGATGACGCCGCCGTTCTTGACAACTAGGGAGCCGACAGTCTGGGCGATTCTGCATAGCGGAAGGTTAGTTGGTGCGGTCGGGAATCTGCGAGGGTCGACTGGATGGGGTGGACGAACTCCCTGACTTCGGTCAAGCTGCCTTGGCGGACCTGTTGCGAAAGTTAGCCATTGGGGAATCAGAACCGGCGACCTTTGCGCAAACGTACCACTCCGATTAATTCGTACAGCATGGTGGCGGCTGTATTAATCTTTGTTTGACTTACGAAAAGCCCGGTTTGGTGATATCAGAACTTGTCGAAATTCTGATCTGCTTTTGTCACGTGCTCCACTTGCCGATTTGCGACCCATATTTTCTTTTAGAACACCACTCCTCAGTAACACTCAACAAGAAGCACATTCAATGAGACGAGAATTAGCACCCTTCGAGTCTGACTTAGTAATTTGGGTCTCAGCTACCCTCCTACTGGCTGGGAATCATATGGCTACTCATATAGCGGCAGTTATGAACCCAGCACTCATTCTACTTGGTTAATATCTCCATGGTGGGCTCTCAATATCAGATCTAATTTCTCCGACTTACGCTTGCTATTCTTATGCATTCGCATGTGTTCCGAGACTAAAAAACATCATGGATTCCAAGAAAGTAGTCGATACAGATCAATGTTATTCTACAGTTTAGTCGCCGCCACCACATCCGCCACCACATCCACCACCATCTCCTATAACAGGAAGAGAACTGTCAGCATACAGACATGTCACAATATTTCAAGTATTCAAGTCTTCGTAGGGGCATGTACTCACCACCACCATCCCCGCCATCAGTCGAGACGGTGTACACGTCACACAACCCAGATATATCAAGCCCAGGCTGACCACCCCCTCCGAGCTGCTCTGCGTTTCCGCAACCTGCAATGCAACCCCCGATGTTTCCGTCAGCGTTGATTGACGCTGACGACGGGGGCATGGGTATGTTGCTCGGGTACATGTACGTGTCCACGTACACCGGGCAGACCCAGGGCCCCGGCAGCATGAACGGGTAGCCCCAGTGGTCGTAGAACTGCTCCCTGCTTGGGGACTTCCTGCCGTTCTTCTTGGCGATCTTGGCCGCCCTGCCCTTGCCCGCCTCGCGCCGCTGTGCGTGCATCTGGAGGAACTGCGTGGCGCTCCAGTGGCGCAGGTATGGCTTGGCGACGGTGACCTTGACGGCGTTGTGGGCGGATATGTGAGGGCCTGGGTCGCAGGATGTGAGGTCTTGCTGGGCGTATAGGTCTTTGAGCGCTGGTTGTGGCTGTCAGTTGGGAGGGTTTCCCCAACGTAGGAATGAGCTGACATACCTTGCTGTCTCTTTGACCTTCCTAGCATGATACTAATACTAGATGTCTGGCTTCCTCGTACAGCTAGAAAAGGTTAGTTTGTCGTTCACAAAGACTCAAAAACCTACCATTGAGTAGGGAGCACATACCTTCACAATACCAGCAGATACAAGTTGAGTAGATCTCGCCATACAGTTCGAAATATGTCTCGCACATCCACTCAAAGGAGGCCGAAAGTTTGTTATCCTCGACTTTGTCATCATGATTTAGAAACTTGGAAAGCTCCCTGGTCGTCGTACGGTAATAGTCTTGAGGACTAAGTTGATGTGTATGCCAAGCCAGGTCAAGGTCAAGAGTAGGAACGACCATTTTATCCGGATGTTTCTTGGCGATCTCGAGGAAGCGAGAGTACTTCAAGACCGATCGCTCCATTGTCTCCATTAGAGCTGGGCTATGGAGCCAGTCGAACTAATAAGTTGCCGTGTTAGCTACTGACTTTCATGGTGTAAGCGCTTAGGCTTGCTCACTGACCTTGTACATTTTGTCAATGAAGAGGCCCTGTCGGATCACGGCTGCGCGCAAGTCAAGCCCAAATGAGGACCAGTTGTTGTCCGAATAGTTGGCAAGCACCTTTCGGAGGTGCGCAGCGCCCCTTGGAGTGATGACTCGAACTTTTGGAGGAAGGACCAGCTAAAGGAGAATCTCTGTTAGCACCACGGCATAACTTATACCCGCGAGACATCTTTGAGATAGCTGCGGAAGAGTTCGAGTATATAAAGTTAAACAACGATAGAAGATGCCAAACCCGGCATCTCAATACAATACAATGAATAGGTTGGATATATCTACTCACCTCGGAATCATTGTTGGCCATTACTGACAACGTCGTAGAATCTTCAAGTAAAGTAGTTATCAACGTGCGGATGTCCTCCATCGTTGGTTTCTTCTCGCGCACTCGCCACTGCATCATCATCCCGCTCACTTGGGAGGCGAGAACATGTCGAGTGAGACGATTCGGACTTGTGAGCGCAGACCTTGATTTGAGTGCGCCGCCGCTCTGTCTATTAGATTCTGGCATCCCCGTCGCAAGCGAGAGCAGCGTGCCGGGCATGGGCCATCCGTTCTCGACCAAGTTGTCCGTATCCCTAGCGAATTTGGCGACGCAGAGCAGGTCTGCATCAGTCATGATGCTGCACTGGGGGCATCTGTGCTTGAAGTCTCCATCGCCATACCCGTATCCGATGATTTTCAGCTGGCTGGCTAACGAGGCTGTCTTAGCGTTTGAGCTCGAAGCCAAAGGCTGCTCTACCAGTTCGCAAGTCGTCCAAGGAACTGGCGTTATTTCATTACAAACTGGACATGCGAGCTCGATGTATGGTGAGTCATCCAAGTTATCCCATTCTAGACCTGTTTGCGAAGTCCAGTTGCTCTTGGCTTCCTCAGGAGCCTGGTACTCAAACAAAGAATTCGGGTCACTGGAGATGCAAAGGTCGATCAGGTCCCAGGGGATGCCTCCAACCCATAATTTCTGTAGACCTCGACGCATCGCATCCTCGAGGTAGTTTCTGGGATTCAGGATATGAGTATGCCAGATTAGGAGGACATCTTGAGAGCGCAGGACAGTGGTCAGTTTCGGAATTCAAGAACAACGACAAGTGAAGGAGCTCATGTCATACCGAGCGGAACAAGTTCGTGCCATTCCATTCTCATTGGAATATCCACCTCGGGAAACCTGTCATATCGCTCACAATCGACCAATTCCATGTCAACTTCCTCAAGAGGAGTCCCGCCCAGGGTCTTCCACCAGGTTTCGTAGCGATGAACAGCTCGAGCCAGGTAGATGGCCCATCGCTTCTCCCTCAACTTGGATTCTCCTCTTTCAGTTTCCTCGCTATTAAGTCCAACTTTCTTACTTCGGCCATCCTCAATTCCAAAGAGGCCATCCTGGTAGCCAATACGCAGCGCCAAGCCTCGGAAGGCATAAAGAAGACGGAGATGTATTATACACGTCCGCGGCTCTACCAATGGATTCGAAGCATAGGGCGGTGGTGCTTCATAACTGCTCATACTTGTCTCAGACACTTGTTTCGAGGATTGAGATGGTCAATTAGAGGAGAATGCTGGATATGTTATTATTTTTTTCTGGACTGTTTGGACATCCAACGGCTTTGATATAAGAGCTGCATATCGCATACGCCTCCAGATCGCCATACTAACCAGGCGCCTTCCCGTATTGCACCGCCATTGCCTGGCGGCCTTGTCAAGGCGTCTCTCAATAAAGGTTTGGGTGGGTTATTCAAAGATACGAAATCCTTGTGACGGTGCGGCTGACAGCTCAGCGCGAAATCCTTCCAATAGGCAGTTGAGATCTGTGAACGTGGCACCATTAATAGAATGGAACTGTTGTACTGCGCGCAGTGGGTAGAGATATTGGGCAACCACGCCCCATCAGATGCTACGCGATAGGTAGCTCCATGGAAGACGAGTTACTTCGTTTAAAGTGAGTGCAACAGGGAAATGTCGGTCAGAGGGCGGCGAGCCGAGTCTGCCTACCCTAGGCTTTCCTCATCATGCATCACCAACCACAGGTATGAAGTCTCCTTCTTTGATTTGTTCATGCAATTTTCTATTGTTTCAACGTTTGTCTGTTCTGATTTCTGGTTGTTGCATCTATTCTTGGGTGCTAAATGTCGTTTGCATCAACCCCGTGAGTTCCTCTGGCTATGATTACTTTAGTGTATAGTGAATATGGTACATACATAATATTACAAGCATATAAGTTACAATCCCAGCCCTCATCAACTCATAACCGTTGCTTGGATATTGATTGCCAAATCCTCCAGGGAAGCTTCCAACCACTACTCTTCACTGCGAATGGATCGAAGTTTGCCTTCTCCAGATTTTCTAAAAACTGTCCGGCAGGAATCCCCTCAAGCAGCACCCCAAAGCCGCGACGCAATTCCAGAGTCGCATCATCGCCTTCTTCGTATACATGCTCGCCTTCGCCTTGATGCTCGAATTCGTGACCTGGATCCTGCCCTGCTTGTAGCCTCTTGAGCATTTCTCGCGCTGTGATGAGATGGTCGTTTGCTCTTGTAGCAACTTTGAAAACTGCCTCCTGCAGCCCCGGGGCATTGGGTCCTTGCCTGAACACTTCCTCTTCTTTCACACCCTCCTCCGCCATGATATCCAGAGGCAGCAGCAACGAGGGCTTGTGTGTGGTAGGCGCATCGAATCCGGATGGTGTCTGGACTGGCTGCGCTGGGGCGGCCAACACCGGAATGCCTCGCAGAACTGCCACAATGCCGCAAGCTTTCCCAATGTGACTAGCCAGGTGATCCACGTGCATCGATCGCAGAGGCATCATGGCCAGTGTCGCATACATCAACGTCGCATAAGTATTCTCTCCGTAGTCCTCGAGACTGGCCAGACTGGTGAACGGACGGTTATCCATGTGCTTCTCTCTGGTCTTGACTAGCCTCGAGACCCAATATTTGATGCTCTTCTTCGTCGCGCTGCCTGCTCGCTTCTCGAGGTCTTGGAGGCTTTTGTCGAGGAGGATACAAATGGGCTCACGAGGAGGTTGCCCAGCGAAGGTTTTGTCGAGAGATTCCTGCCAGAACTTCATGCGCATCAATCCAATTGTGGGATTGGAGACGATTTCGGGGAGGCGCACGAGCTCCAGGTTGAGAGCCCGAAGCGCGGCATATGCATCTTGGACCGGGGGAGGGACGAACCGACGGATGAGGTGGGCGTCATAGTCGCTTGTTCTGGAAACCGATGCGAGTTAGACGCTGTGCAAATATAAAGATATAGAATCGGAGCTGGTAGACGGACTGTAATTGCTTTAGGCAGTAAATTCTGGCAGAGGCGATGTCGGCTTCGGTCACATAGCTTCGGGACTGTGCAGCCCGCGCAAGCCTGTTAAGGCCATTGCCTGCAAGTCTGGGGCGATGCATACAGAAAAAGAGCGAACTTATGCGAATAAGAAAAAAAGTTTATGTGAATCGACGATTACACTGTCATGATGGTCGTGCAATGGGGCTGTCCTTCCTGGAGAAGCCGCCCACCTTGCTGGAGTTGAAATTATTTTTACCTGGACGCTGATTAGAGGAACATGACGTCGGGATTTCCACCCACTCATTGGAGCTTCGGTAGAGGTACCTCTTTAGCGTGTACCTACCCTGAAATCGTATCACGTGCTCGCTCAATTTACGCGGTCAGACGCGGTGCAGGTCGGCGCGTCTCACCGGCCGTAGTTCGAGAGCGCTGAACTTGGGATAAAATCGGCATTTGTTCTGCCGTTGAATCAATGAACAACGGATCATTATGAATTCGGGAGCCTCTCCAGAACCTCCCGCCAAGAAAAGGAGATTTTTCCAAGATTCAGACGAACCGTCCCCGCCAGTGCAAGATGGCCCGTCCTCGAACCAGAAACGCTTTTTCGATGATAGCTCGTTCGCTATCAAGCCAGAGGTGAACGACCACAGGGCCTCAAATGGTCTGAGTCGTAATTTATCACCCATAAATCGTCCGACAACACACGCAGAGACTGTATCAAGACACGAGTCGTCTGATGTGACTTTTGACCAAGATGTTTTCGAAAGCTTCGTGGGGGAAAAGGTCAGCCCCGATGTGCTGGCCATCATCCGCAAGAATTGCGGCGATAACCTCGAACGAGCCGTTAATATGTACCTTGACGGCACATACAAGAAATTCCAAAAGCCTATACTCTCGAAATTCGCACGACCGTCGGCTCGGGGCAACGAACAATCTGCTTCCGGCAGTCCGTCAAATCAACCTGTCACTCCACCAAAGACCTTCCAGAACATGCCGGAGTCGAGGTATATAGGAGCATTTGGGGCTGAAGGATGGGCGACTCGAAGCGGTACAAACCTGCTCAAGCACGGCGACCTTATCAAGATTGAGCGACAGAAGATCCAGCCGCCCCAGCCTTCAAAAGGGAAGGGCAAGGCAAGCGGCTCGCCGGTGTCGAATCTCCGGGGATCTTATGCGGCTTCCCGGCGAGTCGATGTCATTGTTCGATTCACTACACAGAATGGTGTGGAGGTTGGACGATTAACCAAGGAAACGGCCAACTGGGTATCGACACTGATTGATGAGCAAATTTGCAAATTCGAGGCGACATGTGTCTATGCACCCGAGCGCATGCGTACCAACGACACTGTGTTCTTGCAAATACGATGTGCCCTTCTGCGGACTGCGTTCTCCCGAGCCTTTCGACTGGCAGATGATCGATCGAACCGACCTTTCGAGCAAGAAGAGACTACGGACGAGAAGAAGCTTCGGCTTGTGCAGACAGCAATGATGAAGTTGTTTCAAGAAATTAATCTACAACCCTCTATGGCGAGTGCGAAGTCTGCAGAGGGAAGGAAAGGGCTGCTTCGAGCCGCCGAGATGGACGAACAAAAGCAGAAGGATATCAATCAGAAGAAACCCAACCCAGTGGTCAACAATGGAACTGATTCCCCTCCATCTGAAGAGCCAGAAGAGGGAGAGGAGCTGGAACAAGATCAGCTTGATGCATTGTATAAGAAGGCACAATCTTTCGACTTCAATACACCGGAAGCCGAACCTGATGACACCTTCGCGATGAGCCTTCGGCCGTATCAGAAGCAAGCGCTTTATTGGATGTTGGCAAAGGAGAAGAACCAAAAGGACAACCGCGAACTTTCGATGCACCCTCTTTGGGAAGAATATACTTGGCCAATCAAGGATGTGGATGATAAGGAGCTTCCTGTTGTGAAGACTCAGCCAAAATTCTACCTCAACCCGTATTCAGGAGAAATGTCTTTGGACTTCCCAGTCCATGAACAACATTGTCTCGGAGGCATTTTGGCTGACGAGATGGGTCTTGGAAAGACAATCCAGATGCTGAGCTTGGTTCACACTCATAGGTCTGAGGTTGCTCGGCAAGCAAGGTTACATAAGGGAGAGCTTGCTTCCGTGAACCAACTTCCACGACTCGGAGCAAATGCAGGAATCACGTTAGACGCTCCTTGCACCACCCTTGTTGTTGCGCCGATGTCCCTCTTGGCTCAATGGAAGTCGGAAGCAGAAAAAGCATCGAAAGAGGGAACGATGAAGATTGAGCTCTACTACGGTACTGAAAAGACCGACAACCTTCAGGCCCTCTGTTCAAGCGACAGTGCCCCTGATCTTGTCATTACAAGCTATGGCATTGTTTTGTCCGAGTTCAGCGCCATTGCGGCCAGGAATGGCGACAAAACATTCCACAATGGCCTGTTCTCCTTAAATTTCTTCCGAGTAATCTTGGACGAAGCCCACAACATCAAAAACCGAGCATCGAAGACAGCCAAGGCATGTTACGAAATCTCCGCAATCCACCGCTGGGTCTTGACCGGTACTCCTATTGTCAACAGGTTGGAAGATTTGTTTAGTTTGGTGCGTTTCCTGGGCGTGGAGCCATGGAACAACTTTTCCTTCTGGCGTACTTTCATCACTGTGCCCTTTGAGTCTGGGGAATTTGTACGAGCTCTGGATGTCGTGCAGACTGTGCTCGAACCATTGGTCATGAGACGAACCAAGGATATGAAGACGCCCGATGGCGAGCCCCTAGTTCCATTGCCGCCGAAGCATGTCGATGTCGTCAGCGTGGAGCTGTCACATACTGAACGCGAAGTTTACGATTACATTTTCAACAAGGCAAGAAGAACATTCTCGAAAAACGTGGAAGATGGAACTGTGATGAAGGCGTTTACGACAATCTTTGCCCAGGTCCTCAGATTGCGCCAATCTTGCTGCCACCCGTTGCTCGTGCGGAATCAGGATATTCTTGCAGACGAGGAAGAAGCTAGAGCAGCCGCCGATGCTGCATCCGGTTTGGCAGACGATATGGACTTGGAGTCCCTGATCGCAAACTTCTCAGCGGATATTGATGAAGCGTCCCAGGACAGCAACCGGGTATGGGGTGCCCATGCATTATCAGAGATTCGTGACGAGTCTGAGAAAGAGTGCCCATTCTGTTTTGAAGAGCCAATGAAAGACCAGATCGTCACTGGGTGCTGGCACTCGTCATGCCGCAAATGTCTTCTCGACTACATGCAACACGAGAGTGACCACAGGAAAATTCCTAAGTGTATCAACTGCCGTGAACCGATCAACAAGCAAGACCTCTTCGAGGTAGTGCGGCATGACGACCAGCTCGACCCAATATCAGGAAAGCCGCAGATTAGTCTGCAGCGACTCGGCGCCAACACTTCTTCCGCTAAAGTTGTAGCTCTCATATCTCATCTCCGCGAGCTGAGAAAAGAGCACCCACGGATGAAGTCGGTTGTCTTCTCTCAATTTACGGCATTCCTCAACTTGATAGAGCCGTGCCTCACAAGGGCAAAGGTAAAATATTTGCGTTTCGATGGCACCATGTCGCAAAAGGCGCGTGCGGCGGTGCTGCAAGAATTCACAGACAGCAAGGAATTCACAGTCTTGCTCATCAGTCTGCGGGCGGGCGGTGTTGGGCTCAACCTGACGAGCGCCGGGAGAGTTTTCATGATGGATCCGTGGTGGAGTTTTGCGGTAGAGGCACAAGCCATCGACCGTGTCCATCGAATGGGCCAGGAAGAGGAGGTGCAGGTGAAGAGATTCGTGGTGCAAGGGAGTGTGGAGGAGCGGATGTTGAAGATCCAAGACAGGAAGAAGTTCATGTGAGTATCTCAACCGGATGACCTTGGTGGTGTTCCAGAGCATCTTGACCTGCCCCTTCATTGACAAAGACATGCTAATATTCGTGATTTTAGTGCGACGTCTCTGGGTATGATGAGCGACGAAGAGAAGAAGTTGCAGCGCATTGAAGACATGAGGGAGTTGCTGAGCTGAGAATCTGACGTGACGGCATATAATTCATGATACAGCGCGCATGGGAATAAACGAGTATTCAGCATAGGACGGCGCAATGTTTGGGCATTAGACATATGATGATTCACACGACACGGCTCCCGATTTAAGGTGGCAATTAGACCTGGAGCTGAAGGGGGGTTATACGAACAAAAATACGTTGTAGTATATTTTAATCACACATGTTTACCAAAATCTATAGCATTGACAAGTCAAAGGGTCTACGGAGTTCGTTGACTGTTTCATATTGAAGATCCGTGTAGGCTTCTACCTTACTAGGCAGCTCAACTTCGTGATCTCAGTTAGAAAGACACTGCTGTCGTCATCTCGTACTGCCAAGGCCACTGATAGCTTAGGGGTGGTTGGAGAGAGATACAGTGTCGATCTTCGCCAAAGCATCCTGAGAATTGGGTTAGTATTGTTACATTGCACAAACATGCTTACCCACTGCCACTGTAACAATGCGCCCAAAACCTGCTGTTCTCCGCAGTGGTAATCGAAGGCGGGGTTCGTTCCATCCACTGATTATCTCGACTTCCGGGGAAGGAGAAAATCAGTTAATAAACTAAGTCAGCACCCTAGTCAACCGCTGTGACAAACAGTACGCTCGAGGGCTACAGGGTAGCTCAAGAGTAACCAAATATCTTTATTTGGTAATAGTTATTCTAGGGAGAGAGGGATAATAGCTTTATTACTCAGAAGTCAGTTAATAAATTGGATAATAGGATAACTTATAGTAGTATATATAAACTAATATTTATTTATTAATAGCTATTAAACTAGTAATCTATCTAGAAATAATTATATATATATATAATAGAGTACTTAGTAATTTCTTTAAGTACTTAGAGCTAAATATCTTCTACTTAATACTAATTATCTTATCTTAGTATCTAAGTATATTATATAACCTATACCTAACTTAGCCTGGGGCCAGCCTATAACCAGGGTATAATATAATACTCTCTCTTTATTAGTTTTATCCTTAAGATTATATTCTGCAGCCTAGATAAGTTCCTTTTCTTTCCTTCTATATAGATCCTATCTATTAACTATTATAGCTAAGAGAAAATCTTCTGATTATTATAAAGTAAAAGCTTTACTAATAGAAGAATTTAGTATAGATATTATATCTTATTCTTATTATTTAAAAAATAGATATCGGTATTATATAATACCTGATAATAATAAGTACTATCTTAAGTATACTTATTATAGTTATTTATATAACTATTCCAGTATTATAATATTATCTAGTAAGAAAATTATATATTTTTATTTAGATTATACTATACTAACCTACTTCTAAGCTTACTGTATTATAAATAAATACTACTGCTTTAAGTATAAGAAGGGTATTACTAAAGAGTATCTTTTAAAAGTCTAAGCTGAAATAATAGAGGCTCTTAATAAACTGATATATCTTTATTAGTAGAAATAGTAAATTTATAAG